GGTGTGGACTTCAACTCCCAGAATTCTTGCTGGCTGGGGAATTCTGGGAGTTGAAGTCCACACCTCTTCAAGTTGCCATAGTTGAGAAACACTGGGCTAGATAATGGATCTCACTTCCTTACCCTCTCCAACCCACAGCTTATTTTTTTTGTCCTGATTTCAGGAAAAAAAAAAAGATTTGGACAGATAATCATATTTTCCACCAAATGCTAGGTGTATCCATCCATCCACCCTCCACATATATTAGATTTCAATTCCCAGATTATTTCTGCCAGTTGATGATGATAATTATGTGTCATCAAGTCATTGTCAACTCCTAGCAACCACACAGATTGATTTTCTCCATGATGATCTGTCCCTAACCTCATCTTTCAGGTCTTCCAGCGGTACACTAGTCACCACTGTAACCGAGTCTATCCACCCTGCTGCTGGTCGTCCTCTTCTTCTCTCTCCTTCCACCTTTATATATTTATTGGGAATTCTGAAAACCTTCAGATGTCTGGAGATATCAAGCTGGGAAAGATTATAATAAAGAACATTTGGTCTCCAAGTGCTTAAACATCTGTCAGCCTTCCCAGGTAGACCAGACAGGACACATGACTAGATGAGCTAATTCTACTTTATTGTAAAGCTACATTAACAGAATCTTGCCAGTCTGAAAGTACAAATCTCCCACGTCTCCTTTATAGCCTGAGAAACTAGGCAGGGTCCCTTCTGAGCCTCTTTCTTTCCTATTATGCAGCTGCGGGCTATGCCCTCTCTTATCTGACTGTTCCCTAGGTAGCATCTCTTTGCCCCATTTCTCAAGGTCTTTCTCACATACTGTTACAACATCTTAGGTGGGCCATTATGTATCTCCCCAGAGATGACTCAAATTAATGGATTCCTTCTCTCTCTATTTGCATAGATTTAAGCTTTCCAGGCCATGATGCTGCCTTCAGAGGGGACCTGGACACCTTAAGAATGCTACTGGAAAATAAAATCATCAATATTAATGAGCGGGATGATCAGGGATCCACCCTCCTGCACAGAGGTCAGGAGGAGGTGTTTTCCAGCTTCTTTGATATGTTGCTTTAAGTTTTGTTTCATTTTTATTTTTTAAATTACCTATTTATTTATTTACTGGGCCTATGGGGGACTCCAGTCATAGTATACCTCCCAAAAACATAGACCAGCTTTGATTTTCCTCTTCCCCGTCTTGTTGCCCTATAAGATGGCAACATCTGAAGAAAGAATAATTATGCCACCTTAAAGGAATTAGTATTTGAATCATCTGGATGTTTTCAGAGAGTACATTCATCTGTAGTCTCATGGGAGTGTTCCTCAATTTGGGATTTTCCAAATGTTCTGGACTGTAATTTCCATAGTCTTCCTCAACCAGGCGAAGGATAAGAATGCAATCCAATTCATTTGAAAGAAACCTTGATTTGGGGAAAGATTGCTTTGGGTTTCTTGATGGCATCAAAAACCAGCAAGGCAGAGTTGCATCTGCTTGTGAAATAGAAATTAAACTGTGTCATGTAAGAAAAGAAAGAGTGTCCTTCAAGTTGAATTGGTCCACTGGGGATTCATGGACACATCCATAGTGTGAAGATGCTTTGCTATTGGCTGTTTTCAGGAATTTTTTTCTAACTCCAGCCCAGCCTGCTGCCCTGAAATTCCCTGGTTGTCTCTCATTCAAATCTTAACCAGGTCTGATCCTGCTTAGCTTTGCAGCCCAGACAAGGTGGGCTGGTGTTTTGTATCATTTGGAGTAATGTTAATTTCAGTTTCTTAACTACCCTTCTTTCTACATTGGTTTGTGGCCTTAATCTTTGATCCTCATAATCAACTACAACTAAATTAACCCAGTACCGTTAGCTATAACCTCAACCTAATGGTGGTGGAGGACTTTAAATATGAATCACCTGACTAAACAAGAGCACAAGAGGTTTAGTAAGCAAAGCAAATGATGCATTTGATGTCTTCTTTGTCTCTCACCAGCGGCTGGACAAGGTCATTTACATATCTTAGAATGGCTGATCAACAGGGAAGCCAATTGTGATATTGCCAATGATGGTGGAGAAACCCCAAAAGATGTTGCAAAGAGGTGACTGTTACTCTTTCATCTATAAGAGATAAGAGATGGATTACTTCCCTACATGTTGAACTGACAGACAGCACTTAAATGGGTTAACAGCTCAGTAAAGATGCATGAACAAAAGCTAAGTCTGGGTTAAATGAGGCCAGGCAATGGCCTGTTTCTAACAAGTGGGGGCTGCTGCTTCTCTCCCCACCAGCATGGACCAAATACATCTGTAATGAAGGTTTAGTGCACTAAAAACTCCACAACGTGTTCACCCATGTGGGTTATGCACATGGTACATTGCTCCTGCAGTGTGAGGTACCTCAATGAATTCAATCCATGTGGTAGTATTTTTCCCCTTGAAAACGCCTCCTGGCCTCCAAGGACACTAGGGCAATTGCAGAAAAATTGCATATTGTATAGAATTTTAGCACAGGTTTCAGGGTGTACACTTGTTTCCTGAAGGGTATAAGGATATCTACAAGGGTTAGCTATTAAGTCCTACAGACAGCACTTGCACTAAGCCAGAAGTGTGTAAACTGCATTTGACCCCACCCCACCTGCAGTCCAATCTTCAAGATTGTACCACTGAAATTTAGAAGGCCAAATAGTAGAGCAATCTGGGGCTGCTTTTGGGGGGTTGGAAGGACGGCTAAGTGCAGGGTTATGAGCAGTTTATTTCCCAGAGGACTCTCAGTCCTGCTCCCACCCTAACCATAGCTGGTCATCCCAAAGACTGAAATATTCACCTATATCACAGTTTTACTGGACGAACTCCTGTTGTCAGCCTGACTAAGTAGACCAAACCAAGACACATGTGTCAACTGCACATGAAGGCTAAAACAATTTTTATTGAGATTGGCTATAACAACAGAATCTTGTAAGTCTGATTGTGCTGGACCTCCTCCCTCTTATAGTTCAATGAATTAGGGGGGTGTCTGTCTGAGCTGCTTCCAAACATGATCTGGTTGTTGTTCACTTAAAATATGTTTTGCCCCTTGTTGCCTTGGCAACAGAGCTGTCATAACTCTGTCCAGGTTATTTTCCTTATTCTCAACACTTGTGGTCTTTCACACCTAGGCAGGGAGTTGCAATAGAATACCTTCCTAGGTCCACTCCCACCCTATGATTCTATGGTTCTACTGTAGATTGGTAGGCCAAGTTATGCTTCTAATTCTGCCCTAAACCATAATTGTTTATCTATGCTTGGTTGATTCAGCCACAATTGCTGCATTAATACATTAGGGTAAGCCATAAACTACAGTGGCTTGGCCCACACAAGGTAAAGGTAAGAATGCCTTTGAGTTGGCTTAACTCCTGATGGCTCGGTGTAGTTTTTAGGACGGCAAAGTAATCCATATTCAAAGGGCAAAACATGATTTGGAGTGTGTATATCATAACCTGTTGGAAACACTTTCAACAAATGTATCATTTTCTGTGATCATTCAATACAAGCTTGGGTATCTTGCAGGTTTTGACATCCCATCCACTATCAGATGGATGGAACTTAGTTTCCCATTACCTTCTTCCAAGGTGCATTTTGACTTCTTAGTCTTACTACATCCCTGTGATATCTGTTCTCCCATCCATATATTAACCAGGATCTGATCCTTCTTAGCTTGCAAACTAGATAAGGTTACCCTGATGGTTAATAAGATACGGTTAACTTAGCTGAACCTAATACAAATTGCTATGTTTGAATCAATTAAGTAGACTATTTGAATAGGTGGGTTTCCAACGAGTAAGCTACCTCTGAACTCAAGAGCAGAAATTGGAATTGGCATGGGAAGCCTTTGTTTTTTCATTTTCCAGTAACCAAATTGGTGTGTGAAATGTGCAGGTTTGCCCAGCTGGCTGTTGTGGAATATCTAAGAAACAAGATGGGAAATGACTCAGATGAGGAACTTGATGTAAAAGATCCAAAGTTCTTTGAAAGTCATGGTGTGGAAGGGAGTACAGATGACAAGGGGGATCTGAATGCAGACAAACAAGACAAAATTGAATCCCGTGGTAAGTTGAGGATTTTCTTGGTAAAGATTTGTTCCAGGTAGTTATTCATGGTGCCAATTGACCTGCCAGATAGTCACAGAATTAACATCTTCAAAAGCAGAGATGCTGTTTGTCACATGGACACTGAATTCTAGTGATTCTAGTGCTTTTTTGAAAGAGCACTAAGCCCGTGTCAAAGAATAGCCTAGCTGACAACTTGCAGGTAAGGAGGAGATAGCTGGGTGAAGTAGGAGAGAGCGTCCTTGGTGCTCCTCATAATCCTTCTTCCCGTCACCTATGCCTGCGACCTATCACTTGGGCTATTTCTGGGCAGGATGGAGAATGAAATCTTCATTCCAAAACAAAAAAGAGACTTCCCCAGCAATTCTGTATCTTCATACAATGTGCAAAAGTGCAGTATGTGCTTCCTTTTCTCGACCTGACATCTTCCAGATATGTTTGGAACTCCCAGTGTTTCCTACCCAGTCGTAGTGAAGTAAGATTGGGAAATATTCAAGTCCTTGTTTTAAGACCACTTTTCAAATTATTAGTTGCTTACAGACTTATACTGCAAACTTTTGAAAGAACCTGCTTGATCACATAAAGGCCCATTGAGTAGAGCATCTTGGTTCTGATAGTGGACAACTATACGCTTCTAAGAAGTCTGTAAGTAGGGCTTGAATGAAACAGCCATTTCTCAATGCTTCTTCACGGGATGTACCTTCTTCTGACATACAGCCTGTGTGTCTAGCAGATCTCCTATAGCCATCATAGCTTACAGGTTTTGACAGACTTACCATCTGTGCATGTGTCTTTGAATATACATAAATTGAATATGAATGACTTTTACATTCATACCACATTAAATCACTGGGCGGCTTGCTGAACAAGCCAGAAACAAGTTAAATTAGCCAACTGTATATAGTTTATTTTGGTTTACCCAACCAATTTGGGGTTTGTTTTCTCTCCCATTGGAGCTGTTCTTGCTTGAACTGGGTCAAGGTTAGACCAGAGCACAGAAGCCAAGACTAAACCAGGAAACCACAATCAAACTCTCCACCCTACTTTTGCACTTAAGTCACAGTTGCAGTTAACATGCCAACGACCAAATATTACTTTGCTGTCTTAAAGGAATCCGTTTTTCATTTTTATTGCATTAAAAAAAAAAAGACAACAAAAAGTAATAAACACACACACACACACACAAAACAGTGATATTCACGTGACAGATAATCAAATTAATTGCTAAGTTATATTACGAAAGCAAGCAAAAGAACAAAAGAATAAACAAAACCCTCTAAGAATTAACATGTTAAATTGATTAAAATCACCTAACTATTGATAAAAGTCACTTCAGTGTGGTGTCCTAAAAGAACGCATGGTTGAGCTTGAACATCATGCTCAGTCAAATCAGCCATCATGAGGTTGAATGGAATGCAGTCATTCTTATTCCCTTTGTGGGACTTTTGCTTAAATGGTTGGGATTATCCCCCCCCCCTTTTTGGGGGGGCTCTGGTTTGAAGCAGGTTCATAACAAGGCTCAGAGAAAAAAAAATTCCCTTGCAGAAAGAGCCTATCGAAAAGTGGAAGAGTTGCAAAGTCTTCTAGACATGGCCATCAGCAACTTCAAGCAGCTTGGAGGAATCACTCCGCAGGAAAGGCAGACCAAACTGGAAGAGAAAAGGCTCAGAAGGTAAGTCTTCACAACCGGTTGGGGATTTTGCTAGCGTTGCATCCACGATGCCAAGACAGGGGAGGTCATGGCTGATCATCATCTCACCTTCCTCAAATTCCAGAATCCCCCTTATGGATGAGGTAGGGTTAGTAGTTGCAACAGGCCCCACAGCTGAGGAAGTGCCTGGTGATCTACAAAAGCTGGGGAGATAAGAAATTCACCAGCCTTTGAAGTGTAGCAAGACTTCTTGTTGTTTTCAATAACAGGGTGATCACTCTGTTCTTTCCATATGATTTTGGGCAGATTGAATAATGTCCTTTTTAAGAACTGTTGTTCTGCTGCCCTCTCCTGGTTGACCTCAACAGAGGACAATCACACACTCAATTAAACGGAGTTAAACGTGAAAGATTCTGTTACTGTAGCCCATATCAATAGAGTTCCAGACAATCTTGTGGAGTCTGTTTCTTCATCTGGCCTACCTCAAAGGGCTAACATCAGTCTTGAAAGCCTGACTGTGTCTTCCCTCCCTTCCCTCTTACACTATAGTGCAGTGTTTCTCAACTGTGGCAACTTTAAGATGTGTGGACTTCAGCTTCCAGAATGTAGTGTAGCAAGACTTCTTGTTGTTTTCAATAACAGGGTGATCACTGGGAGCTGAAGTCCACACATCTTAAAGTCACCAAAGTTGAGAAATACTGCCCTAGTGAATTAGGGTTAGTTAATTAGAGACAATCTGAGCTTCTTTCTCTGATTCCAGGGCTTAAAGCATAGTTTTGTTTCCATAATCATTGTCTTTACGTAGTTTTTCCAACATCATCTTCATGGCTCCCTACAGCTGCTTAGGGAGCTGGGGAATTCACGAGTATGAAATGTGTGAATAATCATCAGCTCCAGTTTGACCCTGAAACACTTTCATGTGCCTAAGAATATCTGAACTCGGTTTATCCTGTTACATGGGAATTTAGCTCCAAGGAGATGACCCTTGCGTTCTTGTACAACCTGGTTAATGGCTTGCACCTTGCTGATACAGAGGGGCGCTGCCCATTTTCTGAGAGGTAGCTAAGCGAGCAACACATGACATTGAGACTCGGCAATAAAGCTTTACTGATTTCCAAGTTTGTTTTAAAAAAAAAGGTGAAGCAACATTCATTCACTCATCCCAACTTACATACCTGCCTATGGTTGAGTTGGCCAAGTTCAACCTGGGAAGACAGCTAGGTAGCCTGGTGGTGCATCCAGACAATGAAGTTACCCAACAGAGACCTGTACAGCTTGTTCTTTTAGCCTTTGCCAGCAGGATCCTTCAGAGATGTCACCTCTACCTTTTATTGCCCTGTTCAGTTGCTGGTTCAGATGTGACTAGCTGCATTGCAGTTAACTGTTAACCTTTTAATCTCTGGTAGCTATCCTCCCATCTCTATCTGATCTTGATGGATTCCTGGTTCTGTATATCAGTGCATAATCTTAGCCCCCCACTGTAGACAGCAGTAAGTTTTTACATCCCGCGTGCCGGATGGAGTTGCTTTGACCAAAGGTGTAACAGACATCACTTGGTTAGCCTGGGAATTGCAGAGCTGTTCTTATTGTCATGGGATTCAGTCCACGGATTGTCAATCCAGCCAAATGTCGAAAGCACCCCAAGAATGACTAGTGGATGTCATCTGGGGTCTTTATTGGGATACAGCAACGTGCTCTACACTGAGCTGTTTTTTGAAGGCCATCCAGAAGCTTCAGTTGGTCCAGAGAACATCAGCCTGGTTGCTGCTGGATATTTGCTGGCACGAGCAACTGATTTTAGGGCTCTGCACTGACTCCCTATTATCTTCCAAGTGCAATTCAAAGGCCTCCTTTTGACCTTTAAAGCTTGACATAGCTTAGCACCAGAGTACTTGCAGGACTCCATCTGGCTTTAACCCACCAAACTTGGATGCCCTGGGAGAATTTGCTAGTGGTCCCTCACATTCACAAGGTAAAAAGAGTGGAGGTTCACAGGTGCTGTTTTTGTCTTCCCCTTGAGATACGATCAGTCTCTATTTTATTACTAGCATTTCCTAAATTGCTCGAGAGACAGCTATTGAGGAGTGTGTTTGAACCCATGATTGCGACCACAAGTTTTTCCCCCTTTCCCTTTTTGGAGTGGTTTTTATGCATTTCGTTAAGTGGTTTTTTTTTCAATTGTATTATACAATATACCACTGACATTTTCATGTACTGGACAATTTTGCAAGCCACTGAGAATCGTTTGATTGCCACGAGAAACAAATCAAATAAATAAGCAAGGAAGCAAGGAAGCATGACACAATAGCAGCATCTTCCGAAGCTTGTTTTGGCCTGGCTTTGAACAGATCCATCTCTGAGCTGAACGTGCAGCTGGAATATGAGCGGATACGACGGGAGAAGCTAGAAGCTCAACTGGACGAGGCCCGAGCAGAAATAGGAAAACTCAAAGAGCTACAAGAAAAAAACGAGATGGCTCCGACCCGTAAGGTCTCTGGGGTGGGTACCATTTTTTTTTTAAAGAAAAAGTGAGGTTCTTGGCAGCCCTGACCATTGGCTATTTCTGTCCCCCCTTTTAAAAATCCTGTGCCTCTGGGTTCAAAGTACAGGAGTAGTTTCATTTGAATTTCCCAAGATGATGAAACCAGGAATGATTTTGATTGAAGTGGCCTAATTTTGTCTTAAGTTTACTTGGGAGATTAAACAAAAAAGATGTTGAAATATCGCTGGTATTTTAGAACGGATCAAGGTAGAGTTCTTACACTGATATTTCCACTTACACTGATGTCCCCTTTCCTTTTGGTTCTTCATCTGGTCAGGTAGTATCTTAGACATGGCATGGTGGGGATTAAATTCTCTCACTCATTCAGCAGAGCAGTTTGATGATGAATAATTAACATTTGTTGAACAACGTCATATAAACAAATATTAAAAGAGACAATAACTTGCTTGTCTTTAAAGAGGAACATGGACAAGCCTCCTCTGTGCTTAATTTAAGAATGAATGTTTAGCTTATCACAAAAGATTATTACCAACTCCTTTCTTTTCACTTTCAATATACTTTATAACTCCTTTCCTCTCATTTTACTCTGACCAGCTCCCCTTCCAAGTTCCTTTAGCTTTCTTAATTTATGGAGAAGTGTACAGTGAAAAATTTACTTCCATTTTAATGGATCTATCCTAGAATCCCAGCCCCCCTCTGTAGAAAAGGCGTCTGGGAGCCATTGTATATGATGACGTTCCTCGGTACCTTCCTGAGACATTGAGAAGATATCTCCAGGAATTTCCTCCCAGCATTTGGGACCTGTAGTCCCAACACACCTGGTATGGGATAACAGCCCTTTAGGGGTTGTGCACTGGTCAGTTCCAGTGATCTCTCTCTCTCTCTCTCAAAATATTTTGTGGAAAGGGAGTATTAATCTGTTGGGGAGATTTTCTAGTTGATGCTACTGCAGATATCCAGTTAGCAGCACTTAGACGACCTTGGGGGATCTTGACAAGCCAAGCAGAGTTGGACCTGGTTAGTACTTGGATGGGAAATCATCAGGGAACCCCAGAATGTAGGAATTTAGCCTGGGAATTGGAGAAGACATTCCTGAACAAGTCATTAGCAAACCATTTCCATATTGTTGCCAAGAAAACTACATGGAGGTGCCCATGAGGTCACCATGAGATCATCTTGAGGGAATCTTTAATACCGTATATAGAGGAAATCTGTGCCTTCAAGTTATTCTTTACTCTTGGCAAAATGCCTGAACAAGTCCCTGAAGTTTTCTTGGTAGGATTCTGGAATGGTATGCCATTGCCTCCTTCCTAGGGCTGAGAGAGAGTGACTGGCCCAAGGTCACCCAACTGGCCTCATGCCTAAGGTAAAAGTAGAACTCACAGTCTCCTGGTTTCTAGCCTGATGCCTTAACCACTGCACCAAACTGGCTCTCTAATATTGTATATAAAGAACACAAATAGACAGTCAATTGGCTAGAAATTAGAAGAAATTGGCTAGAAATTAGAATTGCTATTGGGGTAATTGTGTTTAAAATCTTCTTTTCAATTTCATTTATCATCAAGAGCATAGGAATATGTTCATTTCTGATGTCACTTGCAGGAGGCGTTGGATTCCCTTAAAGGAGAGTCTGACTCAGACAAAGCGGCCTCCGACTTGCATAAAGTGTCTTTTGACACCAGGAAGGAGAAGAAGAAATTGAAGAAAAGGCCTCTCTTTAGCCCCGGTGGAGTGTTTGTAAGAAGATTCTAAGAAAAGCGAGTAGCAAGTAGAGGAGCATCTTACTCAATGGACTTTATAGGGAAAATTAAGTTCAGTCGACTTCTCAGACAATTCTCAGCACAAAGGAATGTCAACTAACAATGCCATATCCTTAGCTAAAAAAGCACGTCCTTTTTTGATGTCATAAATATATTGCCTTGCAAGAATCTGGACTTGAAGGGAAAAAGGTAATTTGGAGTACCACGTGCCCACCTGTTGGAACTCAAGTTACATCTTTCCCTGGGTTTGCGTGGTTTTTGATTTAAGGAGGCATTCACAGGTTTAAGGCCTGTGGCCCCATAGCCTCCAAATCACCTTCCTCCTTCAAATCCAGATTATTTTATACAGATTATTGAACATCATTTTTGTGCAACCTTGTAGATGTGAAACACTGCAGCTCTCAGAGTGAAATTCTAGCAATTTTGGGGATCATGGTTTTAACCCATCTTGAGGATCCAAAATTGGGAAAGGCTGCCCCTGAACCAGGTTGCCATTACAGAAGAGGGTTTTGAAGTGGACTGCCAATTATGATACACTAGCACTTCATTAAAGACTTTAATTTTTTTTTTTTTAAATCTCTAATGCTAACTTGCTTCTCTGCCAAGGTTCAATACCATTTCTGCTGTATGATGAAGACACGAGTAAACTGAAAAGTTTAACATGACTAATGCATCTGTCTTATTTTATATCAGCAAGTACAAGAACCCCAGCAGAGATGGTTGAAAAAGCAAGATTCCTTTGGTTATACATGGTAAAACTGTTCTTTTAAAAAAGGGGAAAGGAAAAAAAAGGTTTATGAATATAAACTATGGCAATAAGAGATGGGGAAAACAAGGGATCTTCAAAAGAGAAAAGCAAAGTGTAATGATAATAGTAGGTTGAGATAGCAATGCTTTTTTGAGGAGCTATGCAAGTTCTGGTGCTCAGAGGTGCGGAATGACAGTATGTATGGTGTCTATATATTCTTTAAGACCTAGAGTTCTAAAAACTCTACCATTCTGGTGTCCAGAATGGTATATATAGTCCACCTTCTATTAAGGTCTCAGAGTAGAAAGGTATGGATGTCATGTTATGTCATGTCCTTATGTACAGAAGACCAGGTGACTCAATGCTATCACTGATGACATAAGCAGGGGCTTACAAGAACCCAAAGAAACAGTTGTTGAAGGCAATCCTGGTGAAGTGAGGTCTGTTGGGTCACAAAGTATAGGAAGGAACTGAATGACTGAGCAACTCTGGTATAATTGTAGCCAAGCAGAAAATTCAGAGAACCCTAATATTAAAACAAGGCATTCACTGAAAAGAATCTGTTAGAAACATTCAGCAGCAGGAATTGTTTCTGAAGAAGTCCAGCTCCTTGTGCTTTGGGGCCACTTTCCTAACCCACCTCCCTTCAACATGTCAGACTAAGAATTCAGGTATTTCTCCAGTGTCTGGAAAGCACAAGATGAAGCAGGACCGCTTGGTTTAACTAGTCCGGTTCTATCATGTTGGGCAAATTCAACCTCCATGTGGCTCATTTACTGTTGGGAGAAGGCAGGGGTGTCGAAAATGCAGCACATTAGCAGACCTTTTTGGCCCCCCCCCCAGCGATGGAGCCATAACTTTGGAACCTTTCTGCATTTTGGGGGGCATTAACCATGGCTGCCAGGAAATTTAGCACGTTCCTTGAACCAGCAAAACTTGTGCGAATCCGACTACTAAGTGACGGCGGTTTATACACCACAGTTTTAGTGTGAACCCAGTTAATCAAGGCTTATTCAATAAAATACGGCTAACGAGCTAGAGTGCCATGTTCGTCTGTAAGCGGGTCAGGGTGTGAAACCCAACCGTGTTGTACTGGCAGATGTATGACTTCCCCAAAACAACCACTGGGCTAAGGCAAATCCAATCAATCCTGGCCAAAAGAAGAAATCTAGCAAGAACGCCACAGGTTAAGAAATACGCTCAGTGGTAACTTCCACTGGATCATCACAGAAGAGAGTTCAAGACTGCGGCAGTCCAAAATTGCTCTGGCATTCCTTCTTCATTACAAACAGTGCTAAGCCGCTTTACAGAAGGCACTTAAAAAAATTTTTTTTTTTAAATTTTATTACAAAAAGAAGAAAAAAATACATAAAAGTGCACTTTCAGTCTTTTTTTCTTATTGTAATAAAAAAAAATTTTTTTTTTTTAAATTAAAAAAGGCACTTTTTTGCTTTACTGAAAAAAGGCCAGGATTTAGTAATGAAGCACATACTTTCCCTCAAAAGGTCACAGAGTTAGTTTCCAGCCAACCAGTGTGGAGAGCAGAACTGAGGAACATCCTAGACCAGCCTTTCCTGAAATTACTAATTCTTCAGATGCATGCCTCTCTGTTCCCAGAATTCCTAGCAATGGCCATGGTAGTTAGGGAATTCTGGGAG